GAGGGCACCCCCAGCAAGTTCACAGATGACACCAAGCTGAGTGGGGCTGTTGACACACCTGAGGGACGGGATGCCATCCAGAGGGACCTGGACAAGCTCAAAGAGTGGGCCCATGTGAACTTCATGAGGTTCAACAAGGCCAAGTGCAGGATCCTGCACGTGGGTCAGGGCAACCCACAGGATCAGTACAGGATGGGGGACGAAGGGGTTGAGAGCAGCCCTGCTGAGAAGGACTTGGGGTACTGGTGGATGAAAAGCTGGACACGAGCCGGCCATGTGCACGGCGACCCCGGGGGCCCAACCATATCCTGGGCTGCATCCAAAGCAGCGTGGCCAGCAGCTCAAGGGAGGGGCTTCTGCCCTTCTATTTCCCTCTGGTGAGACCCCACCTGGAGTCCTGCATCCAGTTCTGGAGCCCTCAGCACAGGAAAGACATGGACCTGTTGGAGCAGGTCCAGAGGAGGGCCACAAAAATGATCCGAGGGGTGGAACACCTCTCCTGTGAGAACTGGCTGAGAGAGTTGATGTGGTTCAACCTGGAGAAGGCTCTGGGAAGACCTTCTTGCAGCCTTCCTTCCAGTACTCAAAGGGGGCTTATAAGAAAGTTGGGGACAGATTTTTTGGTGGGGCCTGTAGTGATAGGACAAGGAGTAATTGTTTTAAACTAAAAGAGAGCAGATTTTGATGAGATCTAAGGAAGACATTTTTCACACTGAGGGTGGTGAGACACTGGCACAGGTTGCCCAGAGAGATGGTAGATGCCCCATCCCTGGAAACATTCCAGGTCAGGTTGGATGGGGCTCTGAGCAACCTGGTTAGTTGAAGCTGTCCCTGCTCATTGCAGGGGGGTTGGACTAGATGGCCTTGAAAGGTCCCTTCCCACCCAAACTATTCTGTGATTCTATATATTCCCAGTGAGCCTGTTGTTTGTGCCAGATTTCTGTTTGAGACAAGTGCATGCAATTAGACCCTCCTGTGAGAATAATGCTCTGTTTTTCAGGTCCTATAGAAGTTAAAACAGATGAACACCCTCGACATGGGAGCAACTTGGATACAATGGCAAAGTTAAAGCCCTGTTTCCTGACAGACGGAACTGGGACAGTAACAGCAGCTAACGCTTCAGGTTGGTCTGGCTGGCTAAAACTGAAATGGAACAGAACACTAACTGCTTGCGGCTCAAGGCAGGGTCTCTGTGAGGGGTTGGTTGCCATGTGGTTACTGCTGAATATATTTTGCAAAACTGGCAATGTGTTTGACAACATAGGTAGAACTCGAATATAACTGTGGTGGAGGATTTTTTTACAGGTAAGTTGTCTTTTGCTTGCTTGCCCTCTGTGAAGAAATACAAGTGTTTGGACAATAACCACAATATTTGATAGGCTGGAACAAAGAGAAACTACATCTTCTCTTTTTAAAACTAGTTGTCTAGTGGTTTCTATTACTATTATTCCAGTATTCTATTATTCTAGTATTACTGCAGGTCTGGACAAAGGAAAATTTAACAATTCATGTTTGAAAATGTTACTCCTGGGGGAGTAACTCTTCTGCCACAGGCAGCTTTGAAATGTCTTCCTTGGTTCTTATTAGTGTTTGTGTCCGAGGTCAGATTTGGCTGATCTGAAAATAATACTGACCGAAACCAATGAAAGATTTGTGACTTTTTGTTTTGTCTAGATTGTGAACTTATGCAAGCAGGAAAAGATGGTAGAGGAAAAGCCGTAACACCCAACAAATACATAAAAGTTGTTTGTCATTCCACAGGTATAAATGATGGAGCTGCAGCTGTAATTCTAATGAAGAAATCAGAAGCTGCTAGGAGAGGTCTTAAGCCTTTGGCTCAGATTGTATCTTGGGCTCAGACAGGTGTAGATCCATCTATAATGGGAGTAGGGCCCATTTCAGCAATAAAGCAAGCTGTAAGTACCTGTCTGTCTGTCTATCTATCTGCCTCTAACGATCTGTATCTATCTATCTTATTTAAAACCCCTTGCTTATAGTTGCTTTTCATTTTCTGGCCATGTCTTGTTTTTTCTATATTCTAAGGAAAACTTAGTAGAAAAACCTAAGTGAAAACAAGACTTAAAATAGCAGAGAGTATGTAAGATTAAGATTTCTAGAGCTACCAGGCTAATGTCTACTGTTGGGGGGGAAAAAAAAAAGTGTATAGGTGTATGAATAGAGTTCAGAACATAAACTAGTCAGGTTTGAGAAAGGCCACCTAAATAAGCTAGGAGGCTAGATCAAATTTCATGGATGTGTATACTGACCTAAATTGGGGATTTGTTTCTGCCAGGATATGGTTATGATGCTGTGTCTGGCCAGGTTAATTTTCAGATTGCTGCCCGATTGTATTTGCAATAGTACAATGCTGAAAGAAAGATCAGTGAGTGCACCTGCATTAGCAAACGTGAGGGTGCCCTTTTGCATTTTGGTTTGCCCTGCAAAAAGGTTGGAGTGTGTAAATTGGATTCCTTCCAGATGAAACTAAAGAAGAACATACACACTGGAATCACAGTTAATGTGCTCATACCACTACTGTGCTCACTGATGCGCTCTGTGTACAGTCTGCAGGACAAGGTTCTCAAATAAAATGCCCCGAGTTGCTCCTATGGTACCACGCTGCTTGCTAATACAGACTTTGGCCTTGGCACCCCCAAGGCCTTGTGCAGCTGTTAAGGACAGACTTGCTTTAGTATTCCTTCTTAGTTTTATTTATACTGTGTAAAGGCCTTATTTCGTTCATCTCTCATGTCATGGCAACACAGAAGCCTAACTTGAACTCACCCAAGCTCTGTGGCTTTTAACGGGAAAATCAGAATGGCAATGCTGAAGCTTTTTCTTACCAGATCTCAAACTGTTATTTTACCTCAAGAATGCTTTAAATGTATAAACAATACACATCTTTAGTTTAAACTGTAGAACAGACAAGCTGTTATTTAACAATACCTATGATTTATAGGTACTCTGAAAAAAGGCATGATACTTCTTAATGTAAACTGTAATGTATGCTACCGAACACTTCACACCCTCCATATATTATCAGAATGTCACAGTAGCACTTTCTAGTGAGAGAATGACTAGACTGTGCATTTTAGTGTTGCAACAACATAGTAAATCTTTACAAAATAAGACTTTTCCCAGAAGGTGAACAGTTTCCATACTGCCTCTGTAGTATCAAGTAGAAAGAGGCCCTCCTTCTGGACTCTAGTGTGGGAGGTGCACCAGCCTGGCTCGCTGCTTGTGAAACCGCATTGCTGCAGAGGGTTCTGCTGATGAAGCACTGCTGTTAGAAACAGTCAGTGGAAGTAAAAATGTAAATACATGAAACATGCCCAAGCCTGTACCCAAGTAGGCAACTGCACCGTAAGAGTTTCTCAAGTGAAAACATGAGCCCAACCCTCTTCCAAAATAGCCACCTGTGAAAAGCTTCAGGTAGCAACTTTCAACTTAAAGGAAGAGACCAGATGAGTTACACTTGACACCTATCAGTAATGGTCACTTCACTAGTTCCTGTGTAAAAATCTGTATTAAGCAGAGAATCTCTAATGCAGAAAACAGGAAAAAAATTGAAAAGTTGCTTTTAATGTTAAAACCTACTTTTGAAAACAGTGCTTGTTCTATTAAAAGGCACCACATACTGTGACTCCCACAATTGCACCACCACCACTACATGTAAATTACTCAACTTTAAGAGCAGCCCACATGTTACAGCACAGTGTACTGACTTTTGCTGACACTCAAATGTTGTCTGTTGTCTTCAAGAGTTCTGTCATCAACCCTGGCTATAAAAATTCATTTCCTTCAACTTTTCAGAAGTGGTGGCTTCAAATCACCCAATTCAAGTCTATGAAAAGCTTCCTCCAGTGCTGAGGAAAACCTAGAAGATAATAAAGCATATTTATTTATTGTTTTCTCAGATTAACAAAGCCAGCTGGACTCTGGAACAAGTTGACCTATTTGAAATTAATGAAGCCTTTGCATCAGTATCTGTTGCAATAGCAAAAGAACTGAAAGTAAATCCAGAAAAGGTAATGAACGTATTTGAGGCCATAATTAGTTTCCTGTAATTCAAATTTGTTCCACTCTGTGCACCTGAACCATACTCCACAGAGGGGAGAAGTCTTTTTGCAATCACTTTGCTGTGAGCACAAAGGATGGGAACCCCAGTAGGCATTTCTTTATGCTACCCTGCTGTAAGCTTGCTTTGCTCACAGGCACACTGCTTCCCAGCTGAACAGGCTACAAAATTTTACTATAGTGGATTCGAATGCAATTCTAGACAACTGCTTCAGCATCCAAACTTGCTCCTGGAAGTGCATTTGCCATTGTATTCTTCCAGTGATGGCAGCATCCTCTCCCTAAATTCATCCCAGTTTTTTTCAAAGAGTAAAGATGAGCCCTTTTCAGAAGAAATAGTGATGATGACAGCTGTTGCATCTATGTTCAATTTCTCCTTGTCATGGTGGTAGCAGTTTCAGGCTCACTCAGAACCAAGGACTACACCCAGTGAAGTTATTCATGTTGAAACTCAGCTAAGCTAGTTAATTTCTCAATTTGACCTTCTGTATTGGCTTTTTTTTTAGATTAATATCCAAGGTGGAGCTATTGCTCTTGGCCACCCGCTTGGTGCCTCTGGTTGTCGCATCCTTGTTACTCTTCTACACGCACTGGAACGAACAGGTGGAAAACGTGGTGTAGCTGCTCTCTGTATAGGAGGAGGAATGGGAATAGCCATGTGCATCGAGAGATAATATGAACAAACGAATAGCTACTGCTAACTAGCTCTGAAACAGTTTACTAATAAACTTCTAATTGTGGAGCTTATGTTTGTTTCTTTTACCTAAAATTAAATAAACTTAGTCCATTACTTTTTGCCACTCCATCATTGTCTAACAAAGATTAGGGGCTAATGCAAGCACTCTGATTAACACATGCTGGAGCTTAAATTCCTAACGCAGGGATCAACATCACTTTGAAAAATTAGTTTGTTCACAATAAAATAGCAGCAGCATTCAACCACTTGCTTTATTAACATTTTAGTTACAAGAGTGGGAAGTGTAAGTTAGACAAACATAAATAAAACCTAAGTTATTCTTCAAGTGCTCCAGAGTGAACTGCATCCTCATAGCACCCTCTCTCTTCTTTAGTTTCAGGGTGCAGTTTAATAAGATCATCAATTCGAAGAATAGTAATTGCAGCTTCTGTTGCAAACTTCAGGCTCTTTGTTTTGACCATAGTTGGTTCAAAGACACCAGCTTGCTTGTTATCACGAGGTTTTCCATTGATCAAGTCAAGACCAATCCTGAAAAAAAGAGCATCAGATGGAGAGGTAGAAAAAGTAGGAATAGTTGACAGTATGCTGTTTCACTACTAAGTCTCAGTGACACACACATAGGGCTGAAGGACACAGGGAGAAAAGTTCAGTGATAACCTATACCCCATCACACACAAATCATGGCTCAGTAAACTGGCAGAAGATTTTCCATCTAAGTCAGCAACCCACTTCAATTTTAACAGCCTTCCTACAGATACTTGCCATTTCAGATTTTTGCGATCTGGGTTAACTTGAGCCTCGTTGTGGAATGCTCTCAACTTTGCAACAAGATCTGTCGCATCTTGAGCGGCATTTACTGCCAACGTATTTGGAATTATTAACAGGGATCTTGCAAATTCTGCTATTGCAAGTTGTTCACGGGATCCCTAGAAAGAAGAAAAAGTTTTAAAACCAACTGCTGCAACAAAAGAGGAAAGAATACAGCCATGATCAAGTGTCAATAGTAGGGATTTTCACATGCAAAACCTATTTTAAGGCCAAAGATCCATATAGTCTATCAGAGAAAGAGTAATGCCTATCCTCCATTTTAAAGAAGCATCTTACAGAATGTAAGATGATCAGGTTTTCATAAACCACAGAACCATCTAGTACAAGAAAATAAATGCTCGAAAATTCACATTGTCCTAGTTTAATAAGTACAGGCCTTTACTTCTTCGTGCAAGACTTACCATGCTGGTTGCATAATTTTCAAGATATATTGAAAGTGCTGCCTCTACAGCACCACCACCTGGGACAACAGACTTGGATTCCAATACCCTTTTAACAACACAGAGAGCATCATGTATAGATCGTTCCATTTCATCACACATGAAGTCATTAGCTCCTCGTAAGATAATGGATGCTGAGGTACGAGCCTTTGTACTAGGTAAAAAAAGGAATCTGAAGTCAGCCATGTTGAACAAAATATAAATTAAAACTCTTCTTGCTGAATTTTTTCTTCTAAAGCCAAGTTCAGTTAAGCCAGATTCTTTCAACATTTAAGTGTCTCAACACTGTTACGCACCCTTGAAGGATATGTACATTGCAACTCAGTAAGTCAATATACAGTTAGATACCAGGAAAGTTCTCTTTTGCATAGCCATCAAGTGAGCTAATGGCTGCCAACATTACAGTATAAGCAGCCGTGTAACTGCCACACAGGTGCCATGGTCAGAATATTTCATTCACACACAAATGAGACTACAGCAAGTTGAACACTGAGAAGGGATATTGAAGCAGTGGGAAAGTTAATATCCAAGGTATGTTCTTGTTAAACAAACTGATCAAGTCCTCAGGTACCAGACAGCAGCGGCACACTAAAAACTTCAAGAGAAAATACCGTGTGTGTGGAGGACAGTTCATAATTGGTGCTGCTCTTACCCATTAAAAAAAAAAAAAAACAAACAACCCTAAGAAAAATACCCTTTTAACAGCATGGCCCATTACATCCTACCAAGCAGATGACTGATTCAATGAAACCAGCAGAAGTAAACCCTAGCCTGCACCTCCTTATTCAAATGAAATTACTCAGATGGTGCCTACTTCCCTTTACTGTCTGTAAAGGGAAGCCAATATGACTATACTGCTAAAAACCAGGTAAAGGAGGATGAAACAAGTGCTGTAATAATATCTCTAGCAATTTAAAAGAATTTTATTGTAAATTTTAGAAAATTGTTTCTAAAAAAAACTTTAAGCCTGTCTAGCAATCTGGTTGTGTCATACATGATTGGCTGATGAAACAGGTGTCTAGCCCCAGCAGAAGAGATTAAATACTAATACTTGCACTCTCATTTCCAGTGGACTTGTATACTTTCCCATGCGTATAACTACTACTCATACCTCCGAGATAGCATGGGAGTAAACAAACTGGATTTTATCTCAAACTTAGTAGAAAGCATACACAAAACTGAGTATTTTAAAGAGGATCCTTACTTCTTGATTAAAATCAACTCATCGTCACAGATTCTCTCTTGAATGACTTCTTCGGCCTGTCCCAGCATTAATGCCTCAAAACTCTCCTCACCTTCAAGGTTTGCAAGAGTTGAACATATGGTTGCTTGAACAAACAAACAAAGTGAAATTAGCGTTCAATTCCAGGACATCCTTTGCCACCTTCCCAGAACAGGCATATAGAAAAACAGAAATTGAAAACAGAAGTAAAAGCAGCAATAAGAAGATTTTTCTTAAATTCAACACCACTTCTAATTCTCAGGTAGCAATTCAATATTCCAGTGTATAATTGATACTGCTCTTTTTGCTCAACTTTTACAGCACTTTTCCACAGCTAGTGCAAGCTCCTGTGCTTTACCATAATGAAAATGCTTTCTTGCAAATTTAAGAATTGTCAGATAAAAATTTGTGTAGGGCCTGATTTTTTTTGTGTATGTATTTAATGATTTAGGAATTTGTCATTTGTCTTGAACTATCAGGGTCCTTCACACACCTCTCCAAACAGAGGCTTATGAATGTGTGCGCTTAATAAAGGTTTCGGAATAAGTACAGATTCTGGCTCCCATTTCCACAAGAAGACAGTCTTCCCAGTGCAAGGCAGCATTTTTACCCCCAATCCCCAGTAAATCTTTAGCAGTCAACTCCTATGGTACCCATCTACTTAAGACCAAATAGCCACTTAAAAGAAGCAGGAAAGTTAAACTTGACAAGAGTGGCTCAGCTCTACTCATCCTCTCTGTACTGGTTTCAGCTGGGATAGAGTTAATTTTCTTCAGAAGCTAGTATGAGGCTATGTTTTGGATTTGGGATGAAAATAGTGTTGATAACATACTGATGTTTTCAGTTGTTGCTAAGCAGTCAAGGACTGTCTGGTTTCTCATGCTGGCCTGCCAGCAAGAAGGCTGGGGGTGCACAAGAAGCTGGGAGGGGACAGGACAGCTGACCCAGGCTGGCCACAGGCATATTCCATACCATACGATGTCATGCTAGGTATATAAAGATGGGGGGAAGAAGATGGGGGGACATTCAGAGTGATGGCATTTGTCTTCCCAAGTAACCATTATGTGTGATGGAGCCCTGCTTTCTCAGAGATGGCTGAACACCTGCCTGCCAATGGGAAGTGGTGAATTCCTTGTTTTGCTTGCATGCGCAGCTTTTGCTTTACCTATTAAACTGTCTTCGTCTCAACCCATGAGTTTTCTCACTTTTACTCTTCTGATTCTCTCCCTCATGCCACCATGGGGCAGTGAGCAAGCGGCTGCATGGGGCTTAGTTGCTGGCTCAGGTTAAATCATGACACTCTCCTTGCATGGCTTGCATGTTAAGAAGCCATGTTTTGAAAATTAGTTACTAATACCCTAAAAACAGCTTTTACTTTAAAAAAAGGAAAAAAGGAAAGAAGAAAAAAAGGATATTTATTGTTATATATACATACCTCCAGATGCCTTAGCAATTCGCTTAAGGTCCTTTTTTACAACTCTTCGTACTGCCATAGCACCAGCATCAACAAAGTATTTCAGACACATATCATCAATACCTCCAGTGGTGAGAATAACATTGGCACCAGTGGCCAAAATCTTCTGGATCCTTTCTTTGGTAATATCTGACTCTCTGCAAGGATAAAGTCAAAGTTATAAGAATGTATTTAGAAGTCTGCAATCACATTCTGTCAACCCATGTCCTGAAATTTTAATGCAGAGCTCTGCAAGGAGAAGGAACCATGGCACAAACATACTTGGATTTCTCGAAAACTGACTTAATACCAGTTCTGTCTCCAGAATTGAAGACTTTTACCATTAATATTTGGTATTGTTGGAAGTGTTAAAATTTTAAACATTTTTACCTCTTGTGCTCAGCCAAAATTACATTGAGCCACCTCAACTGAAGAGACCAAAACCAGCCTGTGAAACCCCACTGTCTCAATTACTCAAGCTTCCACACACCTCTGCCGTATCTGGTCCAGCTTCTCAGGGTCTGAGATAACAACCTGAACACCAAGCTTCATTTTTGCTTTCTGCAGGCTGAAGTCAAGGCATGCAATCTTTGCATTAACTATTCTCTTGGTCATACCTGACAAGAAACAACAAAACAAAACAAGCTTTTGTAAAATCGAGTTAACAGATCATCAAGTTCACATTAGAGATTAAAACCAATGCTACTTTGACCTTTCAGATTTCTATTCAGTTTGCTTCTCTGCCTCCAGTTCTGCCCCAGCACAGAAAATGCTAACAAAGACTTTAAAAGACAGAATTTAAAAAAGAAAAAAACCAACTATAACCTCTATTACCTTTTTACAGACCCCATCCCCAATATGTGAATGACCATGAAAAGCTGACCCATCAGTCTCACATCCTTTAGGTTACCTAATCACAACACAGCTCTGCTAAATTTAACAGTTCCCTACAAACAAGAGAGGTGCTTAAATTCCAGAAAATCACAGTGTTAGCATGCTGATACTGAGCCAGGGAAATACAGTAACTTACCAACACTTTGTGGATCACTACTAACTGGCAAACCCCAACCTAGAAACCACTGGTGAAGTGGTAAGGGGTTTTTTGTGTTCTCGTTTAATTGTTCTGGAATTGAAAACTCACATGATTTGCAACTCAAGCAGTCAATAAGAAGATCAATGCAGAAAGACTAAGGGGATTGAGCTCACACACAAGCTTTACAAAACGTAGTTGTGTTCTTACCCTGTGAGCCCACCACGCAGTTCAGAGCATAACCGTTCACAAGTATGCTCTCTTTTTGGCTGCGGCCATGTGCCTTCAAAACATTAACAGAGTTGATTGGATACCGAGCCTGACCCTTCTGGTCTGTGTATTTAACTGCCAGTGCAGCATCCACCACCATACTGGCAAAGAAATCACCATCACTAAAATGCTGTTAAGGTTAAAACTGAAGAAGAAAACTAGCAGTACACTTAAGGGGAAAAAAAAAAGTCACTACCAGTGCCCAAACTGTGAGTCAGAAAACATTAAAAAAAAAAAAAAACAAACCTCCAGAAAGGTATAGAAGTGCTAGCTCTCTTTAGCATTCTCTTGAAAGAATGAGTAACTCCCAAAGCTGAAACACTGGCACAAAAAGTAGGACAGGCCAGTGTGATGCCTGCATTTTACACATCTTTTGCTCCTTAACAAAAATACCTATCCTATGGTCAGTCTGCATTCCCTTATTAGCACAAAGGCTAAAAATGCAGGTTCTTCTATGACTATCAAGTAAAATACAACCTTCTTTCCTCTAGTACTTACTCCCCAGGTACTTGACTCCTCTGAGGCATTCTTCCATTCACACAATTCCTCATCTAGTCTCACTAACATGTTGTGATGAAACAATACACTGTTAAAGCTATTGTGATGTGCCTAACCAGGTTTAAATACATTCAAGGAGTCTGAGCATGCCATATAATAGTATCTGTGAAACATTTTCCACATCCCTTTTAGAAAAACGACAGCTTGAATACTATACCCCATTCATAAAAAAAACTATTTATATACTATATAATTAATTAAATTAATTAAAATTAATTTATAATTTAT